AAGTTTCAGAGTCTCTTCTGACATCCATTTTGGTCTTTTCTTTCTTTCCTGTCTTTTTAATGACCTCTTGCTTTCTTCATGTATGATGCCCTTAATGTCATTCCGTAACTCATCTGGTCTTCGGTCATTAGTGTTCAGTGCATCAAATCTATTCTTGAGATGGTTTCTAAATTCAGGTGGAATAAAATTCAAGCCTCAAGTTGCAATATTGAAGGAGTCTACAGGGAAAATATTGAATGACACAGGAAGCATAAAATGAAGATGGAAGGAATACAGAGTCACAGTACCATAAAAGACCCTGGTAAATGCTTGGTAAAGTAGTGAGTCAACAAAAAAGAGGAAGACTCTAGACGAGATGGATTGGCACAGTGGCTGCAATAATGGACTCAAGCGTAACGATTGTGAAGACGGCGCAGGACTGGGAAGTGTTTCGTTCTGTGGTGCATAAGGTTGCTATGAGTCGGAACCAACCTGACGGCACCTAACAACAGCAACAACAGCTGTTACACTGGGTGACATCATGGTCGTGACTCTCCTGTGCTGTCTTCCTGGTTGGCTGGCACTAAGACAAGCAGCGCGTGTGTCGGCACGAGCGCCAGGCAGCTGAGGTGGTCCAGTTTCATCTCTCCTTGCACAATCAGATTCTGCCTTTCAGCCTTGGTTTGTATTTCTTCTAGCCAAGCCTCTCTGATTAAGGCCAGGCAGAATGCAGGCCATTCTGAGGTTTGTCTTTCGAGTCTGAGAGCCTCACTCTCCCAGAGGATCACAGTGCAGGGAGAAGCACCTGCCCTCGGTCCTTGTTCCCCCAGAAACTGGCCTTGCCTTCTCAGCTCACCTCCCCAGAGTGTGCCCCGCAGCCTCCACCAAGGACTTCTGCTCCATGAGTTCAGGAACTGACTTCTGAAAGGAGAAATGAGGTTCATACTGAAACCTGACGTTAAGACTGAGGTGGGGCCCCCTGTGGCCGAAACTGCCTTCACCGTGACAGTCTCCAAGCGGAAGCTCGCAAACTACTATTTATTGAACAGAGTCCCTGGGTGGTGCAAAGGGTTAGGTGCTTGGCTGCTAACCAAAAGGTTGGAGGTTCGAGTCCACCCAGAGGCGCCGCAGAAGAAAGGCCTGGTGATTGACTTCCAAAAGATTGCAGCCACAGAAAACCCTATGGAGCACGGTTCTACTCTGACACACATGGCACTGCCATGAGTCGGAGTCAAGTCCACAGCAAGTGGCTTTATCTGTGAGTGTGCCTGGCTCAGTCACGGGTGCTGTGTGCATTTAAGTGTGATCGGACAGACTGAACTTCACCAGGTACCGAAAGGAAACATCTTTTATAATTTTTCTTCACCAGTGCTTTCAAATCTGCTCACTCATCTTCCTTTCCTGCCCCTGACATCCTTGCAGATGCTTCCACACTTTCAGTTTTGAGTAATTGACTCACTGTTCATTATTAACAAACCTAGTCTGATCCAATTTAAAACTTAAACGTGTGGTGTCTCCAAGCCCTGCAGTGGGTGGAGGGAGCAGGACTTTTCTTCAGACTCCGCTGCTTCTGGGCCCCTCCGGGGTTTGGGCCAGGGATGAGGGGCTGTGCGGGAACAGAGGCCAGCTCCTGTAGGACTGGCACTCTCGTACGCTAGTTACTTTTTGCTGTGTAATGTCATGCAGGGTCTCTGTGGTGGGTGACGTCGATTCCTTGTGTTTCTCCATCAGCCTCTCCCCTGAGGGGCGCATCCTACAGCTCTTGCCCCAGCAGCCCAGGTTCCATCAGATGCCTCGAGCCAGGCTCCCTCCCATGACACCTACACAGCCCACAGGAGACTCAGAACTCCCTGCCTCATCCAAAGAGGGACATACCTTTGCTTAAGGGCTGACCCCTCTTTCTTCACCCAGCCAGTGCAGTCTGTTCCAGCCACCCCCTCTTCCAGCCTCACATTCCCCCAGGCAAGACAGAAGCCCACAACAATCCCTGTCTTCTTGTACACCCTCGACTCGTGGGGACATATGTCAGGCTTTCCCGATAAATGTCTGACCACACTCTACTTTGGTGGCCTTACAAAAACAGGCTAGCAGCTCCTGCAAGTCAGCAAGTCCCCAAAGAAAGAATAGCATGCCAGCCTCCCCTTTTCCTGGGGCTCCTTCCTGAACGTGGCATGGCAGCCACGGAGAGGCGCTACTCATGTGTAACTTCGAGAGAGCCCATGAGGAGTGCGGAGAGCTGTTGCCTGTAAGGGCTGCCACAGTATTCGAGCTGAGGCCATGCTCTTCCCAGGCAGATGCTGCCAGTGACGACATGGTGCTGGGGGGGGGGTTCTAGGACCTGGCCATCTCAGGATTCCCAACTCAGACCATTCTCTCCGGGAAATCGGGGGGGGGGTGGCATTGTGCTTCCCATCTCCTCACCCCTGGGCTCGGAAGGGCTAGAGGTTCTGGTCCCTACGGGGGGTGCACGGAGTTAGGAGCCCCAGCCAGGGTCCCACTGTACCCGGAGATATGGCTGCTGCCTGGGCATTTCACGGGTCCTTGCATCCAGAGACCAGCAAGCAGGAAGAGGCACCATCCGGGCGAGGACACTTGACCCTGACTCTCAAGGAGGAAGGAAGAATGCTGTTACAATGGTGACCAGAAGGACTCCGTGGGAACCCCAAGTGATCAGTTCTCTTGCCCACTTGTGACTGTCACTGGACAAGTGCAGCGACCATGGCCTGGGAAGAGGGTGGGCACCAGGGACTCAGACGCCTCAGGAGGGAAGGGACGTCACCAAGACTGCGGAGGTGAGAGCTGACAGTGGAGGAGAAATGATGAGGACCTGTTGTAGCTGGAGGCTATCATTTGTGCCACCAAACTGCTCCCCGAACACGTATGGAGTAGTGGGTCAGAGTGGTGGACTGTGGCCGTAAGGAGAGCACTGCTGCGTAGATCTCCCTGGAAGAGAGGACCTGCCGGCGGGAGTGCCATTAGCCAGCCAGACCCGCTGCAGCGTCTGAGCGGAGGCCGTGCGATTTCCAGGCAGCTCCCAGCCAATGACAGCACAGCGGGCTGCCCAGCGTGGGACTGCTCTGCAGGCCAGCTTCACAGCAGGAGCTCCCTGTCAGGCTGGCGAAGACTTGCTCCAAGCTGCACCGCAGTTGACGCTCTTCCTCCCGGCCCTCCCTGCTGCCCCTTCACAGGTGTCAGGCCTCCCCCGCGCCTTCGCGCCTCTATCGTTCTCAGGGTATTTTTCGTGTTTCTAACTGTTTCGGCTGCGCGGACTGACACATTTGGTTTGGGAGTAGAGAGAAGCCCTCCCTCTTCTCCCTCATGGGAGGGTAGGGGAAAAGCCTTTAACAATCTGCTTTGAAATGTTTGATCTTCTCTTGAATAGCCTCGATGGGAGGGTGGTTGCTGAACTGGCTTTGTCATCTTTTAGCAAATGCGGCATTGTGTCACGTTTCCTTTGAGATTGGAGACTGTGCAGGCGCTTAGCACCTCCTGGCCTCAGATTTGGGCCCAAATCCTGTGAAATAGGCAATCTCCTAGTTTAAATCCACTAGGTGCTCCTTGAAAACCCTATGGAGCAGTTCTACTCTATCCTGTAGGGTCACTCTGAGTCGGAATTTACTCGATGGCGGCGGGTTTGGTTTTGGTTCTTTCATCCATGAAAGTGGCATCTCCTCATTTATATAGCCTTCTTTAATGTCTGTTGGTATAGCTTTGTAATTTTCTGCATTCACACTCAAGAAATACTGAAAGCTATGCTCTGACATGCTTGTGCCAGGAATACTGTGGTCAGCAACATCACACACGGTTCCTGCCCTCACGGAGCCTCGAATTGCTGAAAGGATCACACAAATCCGTGTGCAATCACTATGTTATGTGCTCAGAGTGTGTTAGAGGGGGACGGCCCTGAGGTGGGCGGGGGGCGCCAGGCCAGGTGGGCTGGACACCTGAAGGATGAGGAAAAGTTAGCCAGGCACAGAGTGGGAGGGACAGCCATTCTCAGGCAAAGGGCCTTCAAGCTGGAATAGGTGTGGCACAAAAGTGACCTCTAGCTAGGCCCGCCACTCCCACAGTCACACCGTGGACACTGTCATTTCCTGTTACGGCCCCACCTCCAGAACCAGGGACTCAAGCGTCCCCCTCTCTGACCGCACACTCCACACTCTGCTCATTCTCCCTGGGTCTCGCCTCTCCTGCAGCGTTGGAGAAGCAGAAGTCAACTCGATAAAATTGTGACCCCTTAAATATTTCTCAAATCCGTTCACTTCTCACCTTCACTACCAACATCCTAGTCTGAATTATGACCATATCACCCCTATAAGACTGCAGCAGCCTCCTTGCATCCACTCTCGCCTCCCTCTTCTGCATTCCCCATAGAGACGCCAGAATGATTTTTTAAAAAGTAAATCAGGTTATGTTACTCCCCTGCTCACAACCCTTCAATTGCTTCCTCAGCATAAAATGAAAACTTGGTATTAATAACAATGAATTATTAGAAAGAAATATTAGAAAATCGTCTCCGAGTGACCACAGGTGGCAGCAGGTGGCAGGTCCCACCTGTCAGGCTGGCAGCAGGCTCCTGATTGACGGCAGGGGACCTGCCTGCTCTACGACTTCCCACCAGCAGGAGGCGACCCCCTAGGCTTTTACTGAATTGTGATAATGCTCAATATACCAGGCATTGTATCATTTGATATCCACAATAACGCAAGTGATTTCTACTCTTCTCCTCTTTACACAGACGAGTAAGCACACAGCTATAAAGTTTATTTCGTCCAGGTCACTCAGTTAGAAGTGGTGCAGCCAGAATTCCAAGCCAGGCCTCTTCAGTCCCAGAGCTTGTCTTTGAAACAGGGAGTCCTAAACAGGAAAGAGTGACTTTTTTTTTTTTCCAACGTCCTATATTTTCATCTCCGTTGCTCTCTGACTATATTTTTAGGGTAGTGAATTCAAACAATAAAGAGGTATACAGCAGAAATAGTAAAAGTCACACTCCTCCACTTCTTTCCTCTTCCCTCCCCATAAGTGAACACGGTCAACTCCTCCGTGAGCGTCCTTGCAGAACTGTCTATTCCTTTTACACTTACACATGTTATATGTATACATCTATGTAGATACATATAACATGTATGAGTGTTTTATGTATATATGTGTATATATATGTATACATACACACACATGTTGTTGTTGTTAGGTGCCATCAAGTCGGTTCCAACTCACAGAGACCCTGTGTACAACAGAATGAAACACTGCCCAGTCCTGCGCCATGCTCACAATCGTTGTCATGTTTGGGCCCATTGCTGCAGCCACTGTGTCAATCCATCTCATTGAGGGTCTTCCTCTCTTTTGCTCACCCTCTACTTTACCAAGTAAGATGTCCCTCTCCAGGGACTGGTCCTTCCTGATAACATGTCCAAAGTACAGAAGACTAAGTCTCACCATCCTTGCTTCTAAGGAGCATTCTGGCTGTACTTCTTCCAAGACAGATTTGTTCATTCTTTTGGCAGTCCATGGTATAGTCAATACTCTTCGCCAACACCACAATTCAAAGGCGTCAGTTCTTCTTTGGTCTTCCTTATTCATCATCCAGCTTTCACATGTATATGAGATGACTGAAAACACCATGGCTTGGGTTAAGCCCACCTTAGTCTTCAAGGTGACACCTTTGCTTTTCAACACTTTAAAGAGGTGTTTGCAGCAGATTTACCCAACGCAATGCGTCTTTTGGTTTTCTGACTGCTGCTTCCATGGGTGTTGATTGTGGATCCAAGTAAAATGAAATCTTTGACAACTTCAACCTTTTCTCCATTTATCATAATGTTGCTTATTGGTCCAGTTGTGAGGATTTTTGTTTTCTTTATGTTGAGGTGTAATCCATACTGAAGGCTGTAGTTTTTGATCTTCAGCAGTAAGTGCTTCAAGTCTTCTTCGCTTTCAGCAAGCAAGGTTGTGTGTGTGTGTGTGTATATATATATATGTATGTATATATACATAATACATACATATATATATATATATATATATATATATATATAAACCAAAAACACCAAACTCGTTCCACCGAGTAGATTCCAACTCATAGTGACCCTATAGAACAGAGTAGAACTGCCCCATAGGGTTTCCAAGGGGCGGCGGGTGGATTCAAACTGCCAACCTTTTGGTTAGCAGTCGAGCTCTTAACCACTGCGCCGCCAGGGCTCTGTATATCTATCTATATACATACACACACAATTCGTGTTTGTTATTTAAATGGGGTTATCTGTAAGTATTGTGTCTTGTTTTCTCTCTTGAATAGGAAGTCATGGGAATAATTTCATGTTAGTTTATATATATATTTATCTTTTTTTACTTAGACAAGCAAAATATGAATTCAATGTTTACAAAATTAAACGATCATTCGCGTGAAAAAGCAGAAGTCCCCTCTTACCCCTTCCTAAATCTCACTCGTCTCTTCCAAGGTAAGCGCTGTTATTCAAACCTGACACGATATTACACACACAGGTGAGGGTGGCAGCGAGTGACACACACCACACACACACACACACACACACACACACACACACACACACAGGTGAAGGTCATGTGACGATGGAGCGGAGAAAGATTTGACGATGTGGCCTTAACCCAGCCACCAGAAGCTGGAAGAGGCAAGAATGAATTCTCCCCTAGAGCCTCCAGAGGGAGTGCAGCCTCGCTGCCACCTTGATTTTGGCCCAGGGATACTGGTTTTGGACCTCTGGCCTCCAGGACTGTATGTTTATACGTTTCAGTGGTTTTAAGGCACCCAGTTTGTGCTACTTTGGACAGTGGCCGTAGGAAACTGATACGGGACCAATTGCACTTCCTCAGGTGTGAGGCACAGCTTCCCACAGACACTCAGTGTATGACTGCTGAAAATCAGCTAGTCCGACAGGCGCTCGGAGTCTCAGAGAGGCAGCTGCAACATGCTCTGCCCACAGGTTCCAGGCGGAGGGGCCTGGGGTCTGGGCAGGGACATGTTGACCTTGGGGGTCTGCCTGTGACTGAAGAATGCAAAGAGAAATTGAAGAGGAAGCTGAGGGCTCAGATCAATGCTTACTTCCTGGGGAGTGGTATGTGAGCTAGACAAAGGGGACTGCAGAGAATAGAGCTGCAGACCCCTCAGCTTTTTAGGGAGAACCCCAGGGGAAAGGCTAGCTCAGAGGTCAATGATTCCAGGGAGCCAAATGAATGAACTCTTAAGTAAAGCTGTGTTGGTGTTTTATGTCTTAGTCCAGGTAGTATGTATAGAAGAATTGGTTGCATCTTTTTAGGATACCATTTTGTATGTAAAATATCACAGAATATATATTTTAAAGTACAGGCAGTCCCCGACTTGGATGTATTCAAGTTACGACGAACCACACTTATGACATCCCTTTTTTGTTCGTTTTTACATCTTATCGTTAGTAATATGTACTACACACAGTGTTGCAGGGAGTAATTTGCGGATGTTATCACCTTCATGCCAACTCCAAAGACAAATAAAGGTTGGGTTTATAAAGATACTGATAATAAAAGACAATAACAATGAAAACTAAAAAAAAAAAAAAAATGAGGTATTCGACTTACGATGGAGTAGTCGGAATGGAACTCCCTCATAAGTTGAGGACTACCTATATTCAATTACCAGAAGCTCTTATAAAAACTCCCCAGGCCTGAAACCGTGGAAAGGGGGAGTGTGCTGTCACATTATAGGGATAGCGACTAGGGTCATAGAACAATGTGTGTATAAATTTTTGTATGAGAAACTAACTTGAGCTGTAAACTTTCACCTAAAAAGCACAATTAAAAAAAAACAAACAAAAAACTTCCCAGGCCTGTGTGCCTCAGACCTGTCGGCACAGACCCTGGAGAGGTGGGCCCAGGAATCTGGTCCGAGCCAGGGAAAGGCCGCCCCAGCGTGCACGATATTACACTTCCCACAGTATAAATGAGGGCCGTCCATCAGTTCCCTACCTGTGGTGCCTTTGTGCTCGTGACTGTGCACAGCAATGGAGACACAGAAAGCCACTGGCTTTAAGGGGTCTTCTGTCAGAATGGAGGAGACAGTAGTCTTCACTGTCCTCTGGGCACAGTGGAGGAGCCCCTAAACCAGGGCAAAGGTTAACTCAGATGACTAAGAGGTTCAAAGACTTTTCAAACGGAACATATTAAAACCTATCACTTCGACTCTGGTTGTTCCTAAATCCTCCTCTCCCCAAGTCCGGGACGTGCCCAGTTCTGCTTGCCACCCTGCCTGGACCCCTCTGGCTCAGTGCTACCGAGCCTCCCCTAAGCAAGGTGTTCCGCCCCTTGGTGTCTCATGGCTTTGCCACTGACTGACTGTGTGACCGTGGGCCAGTCGTGTCCCTCCTCTGAGCCCCAATTTCCTCCCCTGGAACTTGAGCAGGTGAGGTTCGGTTTGGGGCTGGATGGACCCTCAGAATGACAAAGTAGCCGTGGCTGCAGGCCCCCAACTCCATGCCCCTCTGTGAGCTCGGAAATTGCCAAGCGAGTGTTCAATGAGGGAGATGGATTCTGAATAACCTTTTAGATGTTTGCAAGGAAAAAGACAGACATGCCATTTCCCTTCGTGACTGTGAGCAAGGAAGCCTGTAAGTTCACATCAAGCCAGCTCCCTCGCTGGTAAATGCAGGATTGTTCACAGCCAAGGGGGAAATGCATGTTAATGTGGATCCAGAAAATGGGGGCAGAGGATGATCCCAAGTCTACTCAAAGGGGGATGGGCACCATTTCGGATCCAGGTTCAACTTGGCCTGTAATGAGGTGTGTGACCTTAACGTCCCTCAGCCTCATGTGGCGAACAAGGACGAAGAGAATACTAACCTCACAGGACGCTGGTGAGTCACCCTATGAAGACGTCGGAGGGATGATCGTCCAGTGTGACTCGGGGGAAAGCCCCTGTGGATCACTGCTTCATGTCCCTGAAGAGGGCAGGCAGGCAAGCGGAACGCTGGCCACTGCAGGGAGGGGTGAAGACACCTGACAGCCCTGGATTATCAGCCGAGCACCGTGTGGCTTTTCAGACCCAGTGGGCCCCACCTGGCATCCCCCTAATCCCCTCCTTGTGTGGCTGGGGCAGGGCACAGTGGGTGAGCGGGCAGGAGCACCCAGACCAGCAGAGCCTCTGCCTGGAGGGTGGTCACTTTCTCTCTCCTTATGCTTCCATCTGGGACCTGACCGACAGAGCAGAATCCACAGCAGGGGAAGGCAGGTCCAAGGGGTTGGGCTCCAAGAGGAGGAAGGAACTTCCCAGGACGCGGGACCTGCAGGGCACACCGGGAAAGGCCCAGGCAAACCCGGAAGCTTGGTCACCCTCCTTGGGGCTGGCCACTGACCTCGGGCAGCCTCAGACGCTTGAGAGAATCACCTTGGCCCGTGCCCACAGAGGCCAAGGCTTGCTGTCCACACGGGCTGGGCGGACATCCTGGGTCACACACTCTGTGGATGTGTCTGTACCCGTGGGCACGTGGGTCGGCTCCACTGAATCCCACCTAGACCAGGTACTCCTCACATGGGACAGCTACAGGAGCACACGTGGACGGGGACAACGGAGACGGGCAGGGAAGGCAGGGGAAGGAGCCCCAGAGCGCCCCAGCTCTGCCGCGGCCCAGAACGCAGCGCTGGCGGGTGCCACTCGCGGACTCCCCGGGGAGCGGACCCGTGGCCACGTCTGTGCCCCAGGGGACGTCTCGGGCGGTGCGGGGTCCGAAGCCGAGCGGCGCAGAGGGACGGCCTCGCCTGGGCCAGCGCCCCCTGCGGGAGAGGGCCGGTGACGTC